TTCACTATCCAAACTTTCTCTTGTTATCTTTTTATCATTACTTCAATTAATCAAACACGTATTTTCAAAACTGTTTCAAATAGTTTTCTTCCTTTCAANCCCACCCAGCAGGAATAGGGTTAAGTAACATACAGTGATAACCAGAAAACTCAGGAATAGTAAGAAGATTTTGAGGATCAAGTTTAACTTTAAAAAGTTCATTAACCATGAAACAAAGCATTTGTGCAGTGTATAAAGACCCATTTCACAAAAAAGTTATTTTTGAAGTGTCTGGTAAACTATTTGCTTTGTAACGCGATCAAATACACTTAAGTACTGATATAATGTCGTCTTCCTATTTTATTGTTTTCTGGTTATCACTGTATATAAAAGTTACATTTCGGAAAAGTCATTGATAAGTATAAATATAAAATCAGTTTTTTAACGTGTTTTTATTTGTCAACAACAAAAAAATATTAGTTTTAACATATTTCAGGCCTTTTTAGGGGGGGGGGGGAGGGGGGGTCGCCCCAACTAGACCCTTAATAAATTTAAAGCAGCCAGCCTTCATAGGGTTAAATGAAATTACATTTATATTAAATTAATCATTAGAACAATATTAACCAAATCCAGTATCCGCCCCTGTAAATAAGTCAAGACTCACCCTCTCCATTATCTAGCTGTTCCTGTTGATGTGGATGGTAGGGAAGATGGAGACTGGGAAAAACGTTATAACTTAACTTTCATCTAGAAACGTATTTGTTTTCAACATGTTTTGCACAGACAACACTAAATTTTCCCGGAGTCCAGAAACCTGCAGCTTTCCTGTGAAGTTTTAAACTTTTCATCTTTAGGAAAAGAATGAAATCTTATATGTTTGATCCGTGTAACAATTTAACACTGAACAATCCTCAATGCTTGTTATACTGAGAAATCATGTAACTGATCAAAACAAATCCCCCCAAGAACAGTGTACTACATGTACACAATAACATACCAATACATGTTTACAATGTCATACCAATACAGGTGCCACCTGTTATTCTATAGTATATATATATATATTCTGAGGGTTACGGTCATCATATGAAGAATGGATGAGAACCTGTGCATGAAGAAGTACCTGGAGAAGGTCAGCAGGTCAGGACTGAACAAGCCTAAGTATCTTTAAGACCAGAAGTTTCTCCCGTTGGGGGATCCTGTATTGGACTTCTTGATTGAAGATACCAAGAAGACAGGAGGCTGGAAGTATCCTAAGCTGGAAGAGCTGGAGCTGTACCAAAGGAGGAGGGGTCTTAGCTTGAAGATGTTGGATCATATCGAAGTACGAGAGATAAACTGTGTTTTTTAAGTTCTAGTTCTTAGATACTGGAGATTCATGAGTGTGTTACGGAGATACATAAACTGGATCAGCTTATCTTTGGATCCAGAGTGATCTCTATGGACGCGGAGGATGTGAAGATATCTGTTTATGATATGGTGAATTGGAGACCTGGGAAAGATCATAGGAAGAGGATCAAGCTTTCTGCCCTGCAGGTGAATTCTGTGGTTCCCCTGGTTCCTGTTCCAGTTCCTGGTGAACCTGTACCTGGTCATAGCTCCGTGGTGAGCAGAGAATTCCTTGATCTCAAGCTAAGACTGTAGCTTTTTCTGATGAGCTAAATTTCATGTTTAGGTTCCTGATGAAGTGGAATCTATTAGTAAAGTATAGTATAGTATAGTATAGTATAGTATAGTATAGTATAGTATAGTATAGTATAGTATAGTATAGTATAGTATAGTATAGTATAGTATAATCTCAATTGAATTTTGAACCCTTTTATAGTTAAAGATTAAAGTCCTTCTGTTTTTTATACAAAATAGATTTGCTTTGGAACAAAGTGAGTTTTCAGTTCTGTTTTCCCACACCCCTGAATACCCTGGAGTAAAGCTGTGAAGCCCTTAAAAAACAGAGTTGAGTTTGATCCACAGCGATAGAACGGCATAGGTGGTTTCAGGATTTAAGACAGGGGGGGGGGGTAAAAAAATTAATTTTTACTCCCTTTCTATATTGATTTTACCCCCCAATGCACCCTCTTATATTTAATTTACCCCCTCCCTGTAATGTTATCAAACAAATTAAAAGCTAAAAAGTTCTATTTACCCTCTTAACCTGTTAACCCTACTAAAATTATAGTTTCTTTTACCTTTTAATACAGGGTATAGGAAAAATGCCTTTATAATCTATTTATTTATCTAAAAAATATTATAGATTGCTGAACTATTAATGGCACACTGTATATTTACATACATACATTTTACATAAATTTTGTGAGAGTGATAAACCCATGGAACATTTTGCCGGACTATAAGTATATAAAGGAGTCTAAATCTTTAAACATATTCAAGAACATGTATAAGCAAACAAAATCCAGTGCAGAATCGCTTTCTAAGCGAAACCAAAATAACAATTTAACATAACATATCAATCATGCTAGTCTAAGACAGGGAGAATTATTTTTATTTTTCTGCTATTATTCTTTCTCTTTTAGTAAGTAATGCTTCTTAAATCATGCTAATTTTTCTTGCAGGAGACTGCAAGTAGTTTCTATGTTAATTTTAGAGTTAAAAATAAAAGTATACCATAAGAAGGCTGAACGAAATAAAAAAAAATCCTCCCTTCTCCTAGTCTACGATAAACTAGTTTTCTTGGGCCACTAGAAATGAATGAATTAAAAACACTAATGTCTAAAATTGAGGCAAGCCTCATGCATTGCATTGATATCTTACTTTAAATTTATTTTCATAATGTTGCCACTTTCAAGTAAAATTTATTATTTATATAGAAGAATGAATAAAAACTATACTATAAATGAGAAATGATTTGTAAAAATCCAGGGGGGGTTCACCCCCCCTAATTTCACTCAGGGGTGGGGGTAATGGACTGCTCCCCCCCCTGAAACCGTCCATGTTGAACGGGTTATAATAAATTGTAAACATAGTCTTAGAAACCAAACTGTCCGTACACTTGATTTGATGTTATAACTGTGTTTTGACTTTGCCTAAGGCATATTAAGGTATTTTTATTACGATTTGTATATTTTTCTTTGGTGTAAACTAGAGACTGTGTTTTTAAATACAAAATATTTTTGTTTAAATGAGCAAAAAGCTAGTTTAAAGGAACCAAAAAAAGTTCAAATAAACCAAAATAATAGTTCAAATGAACGAAAAATAGTTCTAGTAAACAAAAAAAATAGTTCAAATAAACATAAAAATAGTTTCTAAACAAATTCAAATCAGCATATAATAGTTTTAATGATATTTTAAGAGTTAAAAAAATAGATTGTTCACTTGAACATTTCATTAAGACTAGTTTTTAGTTCCTTAAAGAACTTTTTTCCGTTAATTTAAACTACGAGCCGCAGCCCTCGGTCCATGAAATTGTCTTTAACTAACCTAACTCTGAAATGATTCATACATTTGAACTTTTTTTGGTTCATCTGAACTATTGTTATATTAATTTGAACCCTTAGCCACAGCACTCGGCCCTCTAGCCCCCCTGTCCTAGCCACAGCGCTCGGCCCAGAAATTGTCCCAACCTAAACCTTGAAATAATACACACATTTGAACTATTTTTGGTCATTTAAATTATTTTTATGGTGATTTGATTCTTTTTTTCTTGGTATGAAATTTACTAAAATATGCATATTTTAAACTCCAGTTAATAGATAAATTGATTATGTGTACGCATGCTAAAAATGGTGGAAAATAACCGATATTGTAAATTTCTAATTTTTTACAATAATTTAGAATAGGATGTTGTTACACATCTCATTTGTATAAAAAACAGCTAATATCTTTATATATTTGTACTTTAGAGAAGTATTTTGGCGATTTCCTGATATACAATTTTTGGACCCCGCCCCCTATTGATCTCACATGTATTATTTAAAATCTCAATATACATACAGCACATCTCTTTTATTCACTTCATTGAATTGAGTCTCTACACCTGTTCCATTCAGGCCATGGGGCTCATTCGCCAAATACAAGCTCACCTACCACTATATTTTCAGTAGAAGTAAATATTTCCATTTAATGATAGCCCCGATTGAAGGATTCATAACTCTGATTGGATGATGAGATCGCCATACTATTTCTATTGGTTCACAATAGACCATAAACACATGACTAAACCCTGATTGAATCAGGTGCTCAGAGGCGCAACTAGGACTTTTGCTAGGGGGGGGGCAATATTCGCCCGGCCGCCCCCCCCCTCTAGTTGCGCAATGGACTTGGCATACGGGAGTGAGGAGTGAGCTACATAACATTTTGCATAGACACAGTTTGCCTAGACAGAGTTTGCCTAGATAATATTAGAGGATAGTTTTTGCCCGGATTAGAATTATTTGAATAAGTTGATTTCATTTAAATTAGTGATTTGCATGAATGCTGCCAATGCTGGCTCACATCACCTTCAACGATCTAGTAGCCTTTAAAGAAAGTTGTAAACACTGCAACACATTTTTCTGAGAAAAAAAGAGAAACTTGAGAAATTTTCCAAAAAAAATTAGTGAAATTATCTATGCAAAAATTGCCCTTTTAAGTTATCTAAGCAAAATGTTATCTACGCAAAACACTGTGTTGGCACAAGGTTATCTAAACAAATATTTACTACAGGGGAACTTGTAATAGGCGAAATGTTACTGCATGAACGCTTCATTCTTCCCTTCAAGCTACATTCTCCAACAACTGCTTTAGTTGATTCAATATTCAATCTCAAAAACTCTGAATCTACAAACGTGGAATAAAATCAAGAATCTGATTCGAATTTTTTGTAAGTTTTAATATTTTTTGTGTAGTCAAATCTTTTTGTGAACAGCGCAATCGAATTGTTTAAAAAAAAGTATTATATCTTCATCAAATTTTGAAAACATTTGTACTTCAATCTTAAATAGCTTTAATAAATAATTTTTGGCTTGTCTGTTTGAGTTCCCTGGCTTGTCTGTTTGAGTTCCCTGGCTTGTCTGTTTGAGTTTCTGTTTGAGTTCCCTGGCTTGTCTGTTTGAGTTCCTTGGCTTGTCTGTTTGAGTTCCCTGGCTTGTCTGTTTGAGTTCCTTGGCTTGGGTGTTTGTATATGTGTTCTTATGTAACCAAAAGCGTTCAAACAGCTGAATCGATCGGGGTCCAATTTTTTGCTATTCATAGATGATCAAAATAAACATAAAAAACAAGCAAAACCAAAAGCTAAGATAAAAGGTGCGCACATTTTTGTGAGTTAAAACAAAACTGAATAATCCAATTTTAAAGAAAAACAAAAACAATAAATATTTAAGGCCAATAATTGAATATATTAAACTTAAACACAATTTTAAAATCTTTAATTGCTTTTTCCAATATTTTCTTCTTTCAGATGACAAAGGTTTGGTATTAAGCTGCAGTTGTTGTAGCAGAATCTGTAAGATCTACGGTGGTTTCTCCCATCGGAATTGTTGTAGTGGCAGCCTCAGTTGTTGTTGCAGCTTCAGTTGTTGTGGCAGCTTCAGTTGTGGTAGCAGCTTCTGTTGTTGTAGCAGCATCAGTTGTTGTTGCAGCTTCAGTTGTTGTATCAGCTTCAGTTGTTGTGGCAGCTTCAGTTGTTGTGGCCGCNGTAGCAGCTTCAGTTGTAGTAGCAGCTTCAATTGTTGTAGCAGCTTCAGTTGTTGTAGCAGCTTCAGTTGTAGTAGCAGCTTCAGTTGTTGTTGCTGCTTCAGTTGTAGTAGCAGCTTCAGTTGTAGTAGCAGCTTCAGTTGTAGTAGCAGCTTCAATTGTTGTTGCAGCTTCCGTTGATGTAGCAGTTTCAGTTGTAGTAGTAGCTTCAATTGTAGTAGCAGCTTCAGTTGTAGTAGCAGCTTCAGTTGTAGTAGCAGCTTCAGTTGTAGTAGCAGCTTCAGTTGTAGTAGCAGCTTCATTTATAGTAGCAGCTTCAATTGTTGTAGCAGCTTCGGTTGTTGTTGCATCATCAATTGTTGTACCTGCTTCAGATGTTGTAGCAGCATCAGTTGTTGTAGCAGCTTCAGTTGTAGTAGCAGCATCTGTTGTTGTAGCGGCATCAGATGTTGAAGCATCATCAGTTATTGTAGCAGCTTCAGTTTTTGTAGCAGAATTCGTCATAGTAGAAGTTTCAGTTTTAGTACCAGCTTCAGTAGTAACAGCTTCAGTTGTAGAAGCTTCAGTTGTAATAGCGGCTTTAGTTGTTGTAGCAGCTTCAGTTGTTGTAGAGGCTTTTGTTATTGTAGAAGCTTCAGTTGTGGTAGCAGTTTCTATTTTTGTAGCATCTTCTGTTCTTGTAGCAGCTTCAGTTGTAGTATTAGCTTCAGTTGTAGTAGCAGCTTTAGTTGTAGTAGCAGCTTCAATTGTTGTAGCAGCTTCGGTTGTTGTAGCAGCTTCTGTTGTTGTAGTGGCATCAGATGTTGAAGCATCATCAGTTGTTGGAGCTGCTTCAGTTTTTGTAGCAGCATTCGTCATAGTAAAAGTTTCAGTTTTAGTAACAGCTTCAGTAGTAACAGCTTCAGTTGTAGTAGCAGCTTCAGTTGTTGTAGCAGCTTTAGATGTTGTAGCAGCATCAGTTGTAGCAGCTTCAGTTGTAGTAGCCGCTTCAGTTGTTGTAGCAGCATCAATTGTATTAGCAGCGTCAGTTGTTGTAGCAGCTTCAGTTTTTGTAACAGCATCAGTCATAGTAGAAGTTCCAGTTGTAACAGCGGCTTTAGTTGTTGTAGCAGCTTCAGTTGTTGTAGCAGCTTCAGTTGTAGTAGCAGCTTCAGTTGTAGTAGAAGCTGATGTTTGTTTAGAAGTTTGTTTAGCACTTGGTTCAGCAGAAGTTGTTTGTTCAGCTGCTTTAATCAAGGTAAGTTTAACTTCTAATTTAGATTTTTTCTCAAGTACAATAGCCTTTCTTTCTTCTACAACTTGTTTAGCTGCACTTACAGATGATTTAAGTCCGTTACATGGAACCTTGTTTACAACTGCTTCTTTAACAGCAACCACAAACTCCAGAGCTTGCTGAGGCGCTGAAGCTGTTAAAAATTTCACTTTTTCTATGTATTCCTTCATTTTTTCGCATGTATCGGGAACAACAATTGATCGCAATCGTCTTCTTCTGTCTGCAGGTAGCATTTCATTCAATTCAGTCAGGGCAGATGATAATGAATTCACAATCACAATTTCCTGCTCTACTTGCTTAATCTGTTGCTCAACCTGGAAAAAAGATATATCTGTAGACATTTTATTTACACTTGGAGAGGGAAATATAAATTTAAAATCTCAGAGCCCCAACTGACAGCTGAAAATTAGAATGATATTTTCAACAATATTTTTACTCTTTTACATAATTTAGTAAATTCATAAAACCCCAATTTTTTAAATTAATGGTGTTTTCTATTTTCATCAAATGGCGGTAAAATAGGCTTGGATGCATTTACAACAAATTACATTAACTTCCAAATAAATCCTAATTAACAAAATTTTAAAATAAAAATAGCATAATTTTGATTTACTTTTTATAAAATATAGTATATACCTCTTGTGCTGTTTCAACAAATAATGCTGTTGTTGTTGCTAACATTGTGGTTGTTGATTCTGAAGCTGATACTTCAGTTGTTGTAGCAGCTTCAGTTGTTGTAGTAGCTTCAGTTGTTGTAGAAGCTTCAGTTGTTGTAGCAGCTTCAGTTGTTGTAGCAGCTTCAGTTGTTGTAGCAGCTTCAGTTGTTGTAGCAGCTGAAGTAGGTGCTTCTGTTGTTGATTCTGCAGTTGTTACTGTAGTAGGTGCTTCTGTTGTTGATTCTACAGTTGTAACAGTGGTAGGTGCTTCTGTAGATGATTCTACAGTTGTTACTGTAGTAAGTGATTCTGTTGTTGATTCCACAGTAATTGTAGTAGGTGCCTCTGTTGTTGATTCCACAGTTGTTATTGTAGTAGGTGCCTCTGTTGTTGATTCCACAGTTGTTATTGTAGTAGGTGATTCTGTTGTTGATTCTACAGTTGTTACTGTAGTAGGTGCTTCTGTTGTTGATTCCACAGTTGTTACTGTAGTAGGTGCTTCTGTTGTTGGTTCTACAGTTGTTATTGTAGTAGGTGATTCTGTTGTTGATTCTACAGTTGTTACTTTAGTAGGTGATTCTGTTGTTGATTCCACAGTTGTTATTGTAGTAGGTGCCTCTGTTGTTGATTCCACAGTTGTTATTGTAGTAGGTGCTTCTGTTGTTGATTCCACAGTTGTTATTGTAGTAGGTGCTTCTGTTGTTGATTCTACAGTTGTTACTGTAGTAAGTGCTACTGTTGTTGATTCCACAGTTGTTACTGTAGTAGGTGCTTCTGTTGTTGGTTCAACACTTGTTACTGTAGTAGGTGCTTCTATTGTTGGTTCTGTAGTAAGTGGTTCTGTTGTTACTGTTGTAGATGGTTCAGTTATTTTTGCAGTAGGTTGTTTAGTCGTAACTGTAGTAGGTGATTCAGTTGTTACTGTAGAGGGTACTTCTGTTGTTACTGTACTAGATGGCTCTGTTGTTACAGTAGTAGGTGCTTCTGTCGTTGATTCTACAGTTGTTACTGTTGTATGTACTTCTGTAGTTGATTTTTCAGTAGTTACAGTAGTAGGTGCTTCTGTTGTTGGTTCTACAGTTGTTACTGTAGTAGGTACTTCTGTTGTAGGTCCTTCTGTAGTTGATTCTACAGTTGTTACTGTAGTAGGTGCTTCTGTTGTTGATTCTACAGTTGTTACTGTAGTAGGTACTTCTGTTGTTGATTCCACGGTTGTTACTGTAGTAGGTACTTCTGTTGTTGATTTTAAAGTTGTTACTGTAGTAGGTGCTTCTGTTTTTGATTCTACAGTTGTTACTGTAGTAGGTGCTTCTGTTGTTGGTTCTACAGTTGTTACTGTAGTAGGTGCTTCTGTTGTTGGTTCTACAGTTGTTACTGTAGTAGGTTCTACTGTTGTTGGTTCTGTAGTAGGTGCTTCTGTTGTTGGTTCAACAGTTGTTACTGCAGTAGGTGCTTCTGTTGTTGATTCCTCAGTTGTTATTGTAGTAGGTGCTTCTGTTGTTGATTCTACAGTTGTTACTGTAGTAGGTGCTTCTGTTGTTGGTTCTACAGTTGTTACTGTAGTAGGTGCTTCTGTTGTTGATTCTACATATGTTATTTTAGTAGGTGCCTCTGTTGTTGATTTCACAGTTGTTACTGTAGTAGGTGATTCTGTTGTTGATTCTACAGTTGTTATTGTAGTAGGTGCTTTTGTTGTTGATTCTTCAGTTGTTACTGTAGTAGGTTCTTCTGTTGTTGATTCTACAGTTGTTACTGTAGTAGGTGCTTCTGTTGTTGGTTCTACAGTTGTTACTTTTGTAGGTACTACTGTTGTTGGTTCTACAGTTGTTACTGTAGTAGGTGCTACTGTTGTTGGATTTACATATGTTACTGTAGTAGGTGCTTTTGTTGTAAAAACTTTAAGTTTTTCTTTAAGTTCTACAGTTCTTCCTTTTACCTTTAGGATTGATTCTGAAATTTTTTCCCTGACTCCGGTGCATGGCTTGACCGAAGGGTAAGCTCTCTTGATTGCGTTGACATAATGGATCGCATTCTTAGGATTAGAGTTTACTAATGATTTCACAGTGTCCATATATTTCAATATTTCATCGCATGAGGTGGGGTCATTTACAGCTTGTCTTTGCCTTCTCCCTGCTTGGATAAGAGCATCTAGATCATTTAAAGCTGTTGAAAGAGTATTCAAGACTTCTAGTTCAGTGTAGATTTCTTCCAGAGTTAGAACCTAAAAATGGTTATGTATGGAAATTGGACTAAAATCCTTATAAATTTATTTTGATTTTCAAATTCTTATCTTTGACCATCCTTTCCGGCACAAGTAATAGAACTGTAATTTTAGAGACAGTGCTTCATATAAATCGCAAAGATACTCATGGCTTTAATAATAAGGTATTGGAAATAATAATTGTAAATGCCCCTCAGTCAGCAGACTTTTTGAAGTATGTTTGGATTACGCAAGCGGCAAGTCCTTAAATTTTAAGAGAAGTTTAGTTTTTGTTACAAAGTGATACGTTCTAATCCCTATAAAGGATTTGAGTTTTTGCCAATTCCTATAACTTTGAAACCTGTTTTCCAAGACCTTTAATATTTCAGAATTTTAATTCTGTTCGATCAAATAGTCTAAGTTTGAAATATCAAAGGTTTACACCATACGGTTGCAAAGATATAGGGGTTAGAAAATACGAGTTTGTGGCAAAAACTCAATTCCTTTGCAAACAAATGGTGTAAATCTTTAATATTTTTAGCTTAGATTAGTAGATTCCACAGAATTCATTCAAGATATCTAAGGTCTGCGACACCAGGTTGCAAAAATAATGGGATGAGAAAATCAAAATCTGTGGCATCCTTTTATGCAAGTTCATAAAAAATGAAGTTTACGTATTTGTTCTCATTATTATATATATTATTCAGATGAAAAAAAATTTTAAAAAGGTTTTAATAAGATATAAAAAATTTTCTATTACAGTGTAAGCATGGAGAGAGGCTTACTTGTAAATAAACTGTAGTCAACAATAACATGTAGAGATAAAATATTTGGCCGTTAAAAGACGCCAGCCCAGAAAACATGCTTTTAACGTATGTTTGAATGCATGCAAATCCAAAAGCCACTGATTACCCGGAATTCTATTTTAAATTCAAGCCAATAGATTTAAATCACAAGGGAGGAGGAAATTGGATTATCCTGGACTGAACTAAAATCGAATTAGAGTTAGTCATCATGAAGAATCGAAAGGAGGAAGATTAATCCGTCGTATGAGGTGGAGAGAAGGAGGAGAGTCTGCCAGAGAGACAACAATTGCAACGATGGTGACGTTAGGAGAAGTAGAAATTAAGTTAGTATTTAGTAGGATTAATAATACTTTTTTAAGCAAAGCCATTGTTTTGAGAAATTTATCCCTTCCGATTATATCAGGGATAAAATTTTTTAAGAACAACAGTTGTTACGCGAGCCATGCTGCGTGTATAAAGTCTATGTGGTGCCCCTGTGAATTCCTGAGTTCTCCCTGCAGATCTGTACAGAACGTATTGTAAAAAACTAGTTTTAGAAGCTGTTTCCAGACCGACTACGCATGCGCAAGTTTCTTGCGTGGAAGCGGGCAGATTCTACCGTAGTATATATTTGTTTTTCATGCAAGTTCGTCTATTATTAAAACCGTGCTAAGAATTCTAGGATCACTGCGGTAATTATTCTTTATATGTATATGAATATCGTTTATTTATGTTCGGTTATGGTTTGATATCTTATAAATGTAATGTATTGGTTCCATTCCACAGTTTTTTAATGCCTGAGTTGATTTATTTGTTGTATTTGTATGATTTTATCACTCGATGCTTTTTCTGTGGGTTTATTAAAAATTATTTAGATTGAAGTCTCGCAGAAATAAACGTTCGGAACCATATTATTATCCTTTATTATGGAGAGCGGTCAGAAGAGGAAGGCTTACAATCCTATCTTGAGAAATACCGCACGGTACTTATAAAGATTTCATTAGGTCTTTAGGAAAATCGCTAAGTAGCGAAACATTCAATCGCAACCTTGTAGGGTACCGGTTAACTAATTGAGATTGAGCAAAAATTTCTCGTTGCCGCTATATTGCCTGAATTGGAAAATATACGGACTGACGTAGGAATAAGCTTACAAGGAAGCTTTATTAAACTGAGATCCTTTAATAATCCTAACTCTTATCATTTATTAGATCTATATCTAGTAAATTGAGGCGGGATGCTTAGTTGAGTTTATAAACTGGATTTGTTTCTCGTTGTCAGTATATTGGCCAAATTGGAAAAATATAGTGAAGGACCGAGTGAACAAAGTCTAAGTTATGAAATTGAATGTTAATGAAATGTTCGTGATTGGATGATTGGATGAAAGCAGTTTATCTGAGATTTATGATCCACCGTCAGTACCTTCTTGATCAATATCTTGAAGGGACGAACACTGGATTATACCAAGAGATTTAATTTATTGAGCTCTTCCCTCACCGTTAGTGTGTTTGCCAGATAGGAGAAATATATTGAGTGAGTGAGGAGAATAACTCTGCCTTGAGATCAATTGATAAATCCTGAATGTTGTCGATCATGTTAAGGATGACAATTGATTGAGTCTAATTTATTGAGCTATCTCTCATCCTTGATATATTTGCCAGTTCAGAAAAATATTTCAAGTGACTGAGCGGGATAACTCTATTCTTTGAGATTAACTTGATAATCCCTACATATCTTCGTGATTTGATGTGATAGGGCGATAAATTGTTGGATTTGGGCTTAATTTAACCTACTTAATCTTCTATAAATGCCAGATTGGAAATTTATGGGGAAACATTTTTAAGTGTGGTGAAATTTGTTTGAGCTCATTTCCTAATTTGCCATGCAGGGCGCAGGGAGGAGAAAGTCTACATCAGAGGGGGAGGGGGATAGACTGAGCAGTACCTTAAATTTACCTGATACCGCAAGATATAACCGATTTGAGATTATTGATTCCAATAGATATGCTTCTACTCCTCAGATTAATGTTACGGGGTTTATTGATGACAACCTTGAAAGCAGCAGGGGGACGCGGTTTGAATCAAGGGTACGCACTAGGTCGCGGACTGTTTCAAACGAAATTGATGTAAAACTGAGAGATGATTTATCCCAATTTAGAGATGAGATAATTAAGTGGGGGGAATTGGCATGCTCTGTTCCACAGATGATGAATGTTATTGAGGCTAATCATAGGACATTTTTGGGGAATATTGAGCTGAAAATCTCAGAAGTTTTAGTAACTAAAGGGGATTTAGTGTTGGTGGGAGAACTGGGGAATCTCAAGGATAGATTGAGTGGAATCCGGAAGAGAGCCCGGCAGATATCCAGGGATTACTCAGGAGTACACCCCCAGCAGGATGAACGTGTACCAGTTCAGGAGTCTGGTGGTGAAAGAAATCAGGAGATAATGATGAGAAGTTGTGATCTGGATTACGTGTTTCATAACGAGGAATCCATAGAGAGGTCATCACCGTACAGTGTTGTGTCTGCACCTATTTACAGGGGAGGAGAAGCTCTGGGTGAACCCAGGAGTAATGGAGCAATGGTAGGATCGAGACCTGTAGCATCAGGACTTGGATCTACTAGGCCAAATACACCGCAGGGTTTACAGTCTGGCAACTCTACAAATCGGAGTGAGGGATCTACAAATCGTGTTCAACCAAAAATCGTTCTCTCCAACCCGAGGATAGATGTTGATTTGCAACCTGATGGTGTCCGTTCTAGAAGTACAGGAATGGGTGGTTTAGGGTTTGTCCAATCAGACTCTGTCCTGCCTAGCCTAAACACTCCCAGGGTTTTGCAACCTGAAGGAGTAACCATCCAGAGAGCGTTAGATCTGGACCTGAACGGATCTCTAGAAGAAGTAATATCAAGATTGTCTGCAGAAGGATTGAATGCTGATAACCAGAAGGATCAATGGGTAAGATTGATGAAGCAACGCCAGAGCATTGTTGAAGAGAAGGTTAACAATATTGTCAGTGGGATGAGGAAGTTATCTATAACAGTGCATGGAGCGGAAGCTATGTATTTGGAGTTACAAGACAAGATTGGGATCCTGGAGAACAGTAATTCCAAGATTTGGGAAAGGCTGGATCTGGAGGATCAGAGGTTTGACAGGCTAGAGGCTAGTGTACACAAACTGGATACTAAGTTGGACGAGAAGGTGGAGATGATCCAGGATTGGTTTGTACATATTTCTGCTCAAGTGCATACGGAGGTTCCTGCGGAGCTTGTTAATTCAATTCAAGAAAAAATTGCTGATAGTTCTCCGGGTCTAGCTGTGAACAGGATGAGAGAGGAGCTCGATGAGATCAGAGATTCGTTGGACTCCAGCAGGCATGTGACAGAGGGATTGAGAGGATTAGTAGTGGATTTATCTGATCAGATAGTGAATAATTCTATGCAAAACACGCTGTGTGAACCCCGAGTGCAAGAGAAGGACTCCAGATCCTTTGAGTCCCATACCAGAGAGAGAGATCTTGTGAGGAAGAGTATTGAGCGAGCCAGGAAACAACTCCAACAGATTGTAGTTGCAGACCTAGGGATGAGCCCTGTGGATATATCTCTGGTGAAGAAGTACAAAACTGTTGATGTTCCAGCTGTACATTCGGCAGTAGGGAACATACAGAAGTCCTTGCAGAAGTATGTGAAATTTCCTGGAGTGAGTTATGAGTATTGTGATGAAGTTAATGAATTTCTGGATTATGCAGAGAACTGGTGTTTGAAGGTGGAAGAGATGTATAATACAGCAGAAGTGCACAGTATCAACACTTCCAAGGGTGATACAGCGGATGTCGGGATCTTCTCAGATAATGCAACAATGACAATTTATGAGTTTCTGGAAGCTGCTGAAATAGTGTACTTGGGTTGGGGGAACTCAACGCAGAAGGCCAAC